AGCAACCCTTGGCGCCGTAGGACCCAAACGCTACTGAGCTGACCTTGATGTGCTTGATATAAATTTGATTTTGTTAGAAAATAGAGTTTGGCATTTAATTATTTCACTATGTCAAAAGGCTTCGCGGTCCGGATAGACGCATCTCATGGCGTATTTGGACCGGAGTTCGCCAGTTGGCGACCCCTGTACTATACTGTTATAAAGATCTTATTGATTTACAGTACAAGCATCAGAATTTCATCTTACTTTTTGCCATATAAATATCAGCATCTGCACCTAATTGCACACTTTTGCTCAATTTAGGCTCTGTTTTTTTTCCCCTCTATATTCTCACTATATTATACTATTTGAGCCATTGGGTGATGCGGTTGGAAACCAGATTGAAAATTCTGGAAAATTGACATGTTCAGGTTTGCTGGCATCAGATTGGCCAGCATGTGTTGATTTATGGGGATGAGAGCTGGTAGAAGTTTCAAACAGCTAAAATCTTTCTCTACACGTTTACTGAACATTATCTCCAAACCATTAACTTGGAAAAACACTGCAGGCATCCTTGATAAACTTTTGATGCTCAAGGTTACACCAATGCTAAATGAATCGGACTATCTTTTCTTAAATGTCCTCTTAATAGTGGGTTTTGTCCACTGATCTATATACTGTATAATGACTGGATTGCTCATCGCGTTCTAAACTGCCAACAGGCAGTGAAGCCACTGGAAGTGTACGATCCGCCATCTTTATTCAGATTTCAGAATGAGCACTTTGTCATTTGTTATATATATATATGTTGAGGTCGTGTCTGTCTGATGTGTATCATGTTCATGATGTTCACTTCTGTAATGAACATAGCTTTTTAATAAGTAGGGGAAATTCCCGACATTAAAAAAATAACCACATGCCTAGGGTGTTTGCATTGTAAGAATGTACAGAGATACTTCAGATTTAAAAATGCTGACTTGTTAGGCAATGTGTTTTCGTTAAAATCATACAATTTCCTATGAATTCAATAGAACGTTTACGTACACTAGGGATTACCAATATGGCGGCGCTGCGGCTTCACTTTCATGACGTCATGAGCAATCCAGTTCTCTATTATAGATCAGTGGTTTTGTCATTGTCTGCAGGGGGTTTGATCAGTTTTGACATCTTCCCAGAGGGCTGGGACAAACGCCTCTGTCTGGACATCTTGGAGCAGGAAGGATTGGACGCCATCTACTTTTTCGGCAATGAAACGTCACTGGTACGTAATCGAATGACTGTATGTATGTATGTATATATATATATATATATATGAAGAGTTCAGATGCAAAAGCCTCCAAGTGCCATCTGAAAATTTCTTCTAAAATTAGCATTTTTATCAGGCTCCTATGTTTAGAAGACACGGTGCGGCTCTGCAGTGAGATATTCTTTAAGACTCCACCCAATGAGGCGTGAGAGCATCTGCATGCACCTGCACATACACCAGACTGCCTGTGTGCAGTGCTACTGCGCCCGCTGCTGGTCACTGTGGGTAATGCAGTCTGCTGCACTGAGCCTGAGAACCATCAGACATGGAGACAGAACCAAACCACTGCTGATCCGCAGGCTAAAGGGACTGTATGTAAATATCACTGACAGAGCCTCATCAGTGTGTTCATAGTTTTTTAAAATTTAAATCGTTTCAAATGTTAATTTTAAATCTAAAGATACCCTCTTTTTTGTAAAAAAAAAAAAGCTGTTTTCCTGTGGCCACGTTCACACTGCAACATTTCCGGAGTGACAACTGTATGTAAAATACAATGAATCCTCTGAATGATGCACAGGACACAGGACTCACTCCAGAAATGATGATGGTTGTTGACACAGTGCAGTGTTTGACATCTCAAAGCTGTGAACTTAAAACGTGGAAGCCAACCGTTTTAACTTTTTTAACCAAAGTAACATTAGCTATCAGTTATGAGTAAGAGGTGTTTGTTTACCTAGTGTGCTCCATCACATAACGGTGCTAATTTAGTTAAATGAATTAAATAATTACATTTTTCAAAGGAATTAGTGGAATAATAGGAATGTTGTACAATTTATGGTAAAATAATGCATTTTAAATGTTTTACTTTAAAATATTCGCACATCCACTCTTAATGTGCCAAAAACTGCTCGTACAACAGTTGTCGGATAGTAAATGTTTAGCTACATCTTACCTCACATTCTTCAACCATTAAAACTTAAGCGTAGCGCTGGAATTCCCGCTCGGCTTCTTTGAACAGTAAACCCTGCCTCATTTTAATTGACAGGCTATCTCAATTATTTCACACTGATGAGCGCCTTTATAGGCAGAAAAAAATAAAACGTGTCATAAACAGAGCAATACATTTGGCCATATCTGATTCTTAATCAGATCTGCAGTGGTTACGGCCCTGTTTGGTGAAATAGCCTACTGAAGACACACATTTGTTTCTAGTTTTCTAGCACCTCCCCTGATAGCACACATACCTCACAGAGACGTCTATTTGACATCTACAAGACATATTTGTTAGAGTGTTTGCTCATCTGCAATACGTCTATAGGATGTTTTCTATCAGATGTCAAATAGACATCTATTAGAAGTCTTTAAGATGTTTATGATTTAGAATGTATGTAAACCTGACATCTTACAGACGTCTGTCAGATGTTTGTAAACAGCAGATGCTTTGCAGATCAAGAGATCTTTAACAGACATCTTGCAGACGTACGTGTGCTATCTGGGTCAGATGACCCATCTGACCCGTCGGTGTCCAAAACAGTTAAGTGTTTCATTTCACTGTATCAGATTTAATACAAATGCTGCTGGCACCGCATTAAATGTTCAGGAGTTGAATTCGTTAGTCACTCGTGTAAATGGACCCAATCGATGAGTGACATGGGATCCGCGGTGTGAACGTGACCCCCGTTTCTGACCAATCGCAACGTGACTATAGGTCTGTTCCATGTTAAGTTCAAGTTTTGTCATGCTTTTCTGATCTTATTTACTGTCGCAGGTGATTTGAGATGTGAGATGTTTGTGCTTAGTTTAATGTGGATTGTTCATCCCCCCTCTGTACTCTCGGACTGGACTCTGGATATTTACAAGATTATGACAATTCTGCATATTTAATGAATGGTCTGGAGCTACATGTTTGTATAGTGAGAGGATATGAGATTGACTGAAACTATAAAATCTCGTCAGATTTGACGCTAAGTTAATTAATAGTTGATTGATGTGATATTTACGTGTTAATCATTCCAGACAGAATCCGCGTCATCGCTGAAACACTCCCCTTGATCCCTGAAAACATGGTGCTGATCCCATAGATTTCCAGGGCATTGTAAGACGTTTTTTTAACCGGACATCAAGTATTTCTAATTCAGAATTCATAGTCCGATTGATCTCATGCTATGAATGTTGCTTCATATCTGATTGCATAAATGCACTTGAACTTAAATTGATTCATATCAAAACATTTACACTAATTATGTAAACGGTGCCGGATTAAAGAAATGATGTGACCTTAATTCTAAACAAACTCATTTATTGAGTATCTCTAT